TTACTTCTGTCGCGCCATGGCCATGTCGAATATGGTCATTGTGACATGGAGTATGCTCATTGCCCTGTCAATGTGTGTTTGGAGTGGCAGGTCCGAGGAGGTTTGCGAATCCGAGGAGGTGACCTTCCTTTCAACGCATCACCGCTCTCTGGAAGACTGGGGCCCCATCCGGCGCAATTCTCGTTACTATTATGCGCCCGCCCCGCCCACCACCCCCACCCCCACCACCACCACCACAACCACCACCACCCCATGTCTTCCTGTTGTCATCCAGAATTTTGAACCGGATCTTCCGATTGAGATTCCAGACAGCACTTACCCAAGTCCCCTCGGTGGCGAGCTAGTGCCCAGCGCAGCACTTTGTGCAAACTTCGCACTGGGAGGGGTCTGTGCGGCCGACAACATGAGTGTCACTTTGGGCATTGACCACACTTGGCTGGCAGATTTGATCATTTGGATCGAGAATCCGGCTGGGAATGTCTCACGGCTTCTCGAAGGCAATGGAGGAGCCAGGGATTTGATCTCCACCAGTCCAGTCACATTTGAGAGCTCCGCCGGTGCTCCGGCATCGGACATAGGTCTTTCATTTTTGAATGCTGTCCGACCGTTTGACGACGGCTTGGATGCCTTGGCAACAAGCCCAAACGGAAACTGGTCATTCTGCATTGGAGATCGGTGGGGTGGGGATATTGGGACCTTCGTTTCTTTCAGTTTGAACCTTCCTGCTGCCGGTCCGTCTTCCAACACCATTTCCGGCGCAGCCATGTCCTCCACACCAGAGGTCATCAAGGTGCACTTTGAGTTCCAGGCTCCAACTGCCCCACCAAAAGTCCCAGACCCCGCTGACGTGCAAATGAAGAAGGAATCAGCCGGACAATAAGAAATTGCCTATCCCTTTTTGTAATGCTCGGCCAAATTTTGAAACAGATTCTCCGGAAGGCTTAGCAAGGAAATGTTTTAATGGAGCAAAGCTCCTTAGCAGCCGGGCAGTAAGAAATTGCCAATTGCAGATCTTAGCATGGCAATGTTTTAACGGAGCAAAGCTCCTTAGATTCGTCACCACCGCCAGAAAATCAGCCGCACTGTGACATCCGTCGTGCAGCCTCGATGCGGGTAGCGTACTTATGAACTGCGGATCAAGTCTCCTGGTTGCCAGGTCCATGACGATGCACCAACGGGACAGCAGCCAGGCCACAACATTCCCGACCGACCCGGTCTGAGTCTGAGTGCTCAGCATACCAGTGGCAGCAGACGCGTATGGTTCAACTTTATGGGCAACTTGGTCTCCCGTTTGCTTCTTCCGAGCGGCGACATTGCTTCGGTGAGCCCATTGATTGATCATCCGCGCCGCGTGCTGGTTGCCATTTCATGCGAGGCTTACTCCGACACGCCGTTTTATCCACGGCTGACGACACCACATGCAGATGCGGAGGTCTTGGCGCAGAAGTGCCAGAGCATGGGCTACGACGAGGTGGGGGTTGGAGCCTAGGGATCCTCGTTTTTCTCAACCCACATTAGCCTCCCATGCATCCCGAATGCACCCCCTAAAGTATGCCCCGAATACGCCCCCACATGCCTGTAGTGGTCCTTCATCGGCGGGGTAGGATGTCGAGACACCGGTGTATGTCGAGCACAAACGTGGCTGTAGAGGGCGCCTCGTATGTCAGGGGTGTATTACAGGCTAAATTACGGGTGTGCGATGGGTATACGTGGTTCCCTTAGGCGTGTATTGCAGATGTATTCGGCATATACTGGGTTCATATGAGGGCATATATTGAGAGCATATTGCAATAAACTTGGCTTGATGTGTGCTAGTCCGGAGCCAGAGCAGAAAGTCTGGGACCAGGTAAGTGATTGATTGTGGATACAAAACGGTAGTGGGTCCTCGACTGAGCCCAGGAGTGCACGAGGCTGTTATGACTTGCATGCCACCACTCCCACAGCCATTCACCACGAAAGCAAGAGCTGAACGAACTCCATGTTTCATTCTGCGGGGTCCCAACTCGCATGCGCATGCCGGTGTTAGGTGGCGTGCCTCTGACTTCGTCCTCCTTTCGGCTTCCGGGCTCACGACTTGCACCTCGGCGCATGCGGTTTCCGCAAGAAGGGATGAGAGCTGGCCCCCACTTTGAAGGGGAGGAACTTAGGCTCAGGGTTGAGGGCTATGGGGCTAGGGTTATTAGGATTTCTGAGACGTGCTACTGCCCTGGCATCGGAACCGAGCCGAGGTACCGATGTAGGCGATGTGCTGGGTCGCCTGGGCTGCGATGGCACGTTTGTATCCTAAGCCCTAAACCCTAACTCACGTTGACCTTTCAGAAAATCTGTTCCGAAGATCTCTGCCAGGAAATCTGCGACCAAGGTTAGGTTCAGTGAAGTGCTGAGAGGTCTTTGCGTTTGAGGTTCTTACATTACATTCGGCTGAATGTTGGCGGCTCAAGCCATATTGAACCTGTTGTACAGTGATAGGCAAATTGCTTCCTTACTTCTGTCGCGCCATGGCCATGTCGAATATGGTCATTGTGACATGGAGTATGCTCATTGCCCTGTCAATGTGTGTTTGGAGTGGCAAGTCCGAGGAGGTTTGCGAATCAGAGGAGGTGACCTTCCTTTCAACGCATCACCGCTCTCTGGAAGACTGGGGCCCCATCCGGCGCAATTCTCGTTACTATTATGCGCCCGCCCCGCCCACCACCCCCACCACCCCCACCACCACCACCACAACCACCACCACCCCATGTCTTCCTGTTGTCATCCAGAATTTTGAACCGGATCTTCCGATTGAGATTCCAGACAGCACTTACCCAAGTATTCTCGATGGCGAGCTAGTGCCCAGCGCAGCACTTTGTGCAAACTTCGCACTGGGAGGGGTCTGTGCGGCCGACAACATGAGTGTCACTTTGGGCATTGACCACACTTGGCTGGCAGATTTGATCATTTGGATCGAGAATCCGGCCGGGAATGTCTCACGGCTTCTCGAAGGCAATGGAGGAGCCAGGGATTTGATCTCTACCAGTCCAGTCACATTTGAGAGCTCCGCCGGTGCTCCGGCATCGGACATAGGTCTTTCATTTTTGAATGCTGTCCGACCGTTTGACGACGGCTTGGATGCCTTGGCAACAAGCCCAAACGGAAACTGGTCATTCTGCATTGGAGATCGGTGGGGTGGGGATATTGGGACCTTCGTTTCTTTCAGTTTGAACCTTCCTGCTGCCGGTCCGTCTTCCAACACCATTTCCGGCGCAGCCATGTCCTCCACACCAGAGGTCATCAAGGTGCACTTTGAGTTCCAGGCTCCAACTGGCCCACCAAAAGTCCCAGACCCCGCTGACGTGGAAAAGAAGAAGGAATCAGCCGGGCAATAAGAAATTGCCTATCCCTTTTTGTTGAAATGCTCGGCCAAATTTTGAAACAGATTCTCCGGAAGGCTTAGCAAGGAAATGTTTTAATGGAGCAAAGCTCCTTAGCAGCCGGGCAGTAAGAAATTGCCAATCGCGAATCTTAGCATGGCAATGTTTTAATGGAGCAAAGCTCCTTAGATCCGTCAACACCGAATCGCCAGAAAATCAGCTGCACTGCGACATCCGTCGTGCAGCCTCGATGCGGGTAGCGTACTTATGAACTGCGGATTAAGTCTCCTGGTGGCCAGGTCCATGACGATGCACCAACGGGACAGCAGCCAGGCCACAACATTCCCGACCGACCCGGTCTGAGTCTGAGTGCTCAGCATACCACTGGAAGCAGACGCGTATGGTTCAACTTTATGGGCAACTTGGGCAACTTGGTCTCCCGTTTGCTTCTTCCGAGCGGCGACATTGCTTCGGTGAGCCCATTGATTGATCATCCGCGCCGCGTGCTGCTTGCCATTTCATGCGAGGCTTACTCCGACACGCCGTTTTATCCACGGCTGACGACACCACATGCAGATGCGGAGGTCTTGGCGCAGCAGTGCCAGAGCATGGGCTACGACGAGGTGGGGGTTGGAGCCTAGGGATCCTCGTTTTTCTCAACCCACATTAGCCTCCCATGCATCCCGAATGCACCCCCTAAAGTATGCCCCGAATACGCCCCCACATGCCTGTAGTGGTCCTTCATCGGCGGGGTAGGATGTCGAGACACCGGTGTATGTCGAGCACAAACGTGGCTGTAGAGGGCGCCTCGTATGTCAGGGGTGTATTACAGGCTAAATTACGGGTATGCGATGGGTATACGTGGTTCCCTTAGGCGTGTATTGCAGATGTATTCGGCATATACTGGGTTCATATTAGGGCATATATTGAGAGCATATTGCAATAAACTTGGCTTGATGTGTGCTAGTCCGGAGCCAGAGCAGAAAGTCTGGGACCAGGTAAGTGATTGATTGTGGATACAAAACGGTAGTGGGTCCTCGACTGAGCCCAGGAGTGCACGAGGCTGTTATGACTTGCATGCCACCACTCCCACAGCCATTCACCACGAAAGCAAGAGCTGAACGAACTCCATGTTTCATTCTGCGGGGTCCCAACTCGCATGCGCATGCCGGTGTTAGGTGGCGTGCCTCTGACTTCGTCCTCCTTTCGGCTTCCGGGCTCACGACTTGCACCTCGGCGCATGCGGTTTCCGCAAGAAGGGATGAGAGCTGGCCCCCACTTTGAAGGGGAGGAACTTAGGCTCAGGGTTGAGGGCTATGGGGCTAGGGTTATTAGGATTTCTGAGACGTGCTACTGCCCTGGCATCGGAACCGAGCCGAGGTACCGATGTAGGCGATGTGCTGGGTCGCCTGGGCTGCGATGGCACGTTTGTATCCTAAGCCCTAAACCCTAACTCACGTTGACCTTTCAGAAAATCTGTTCCGAAGATCTCTGCCAGGAAATCTGCGACCAAGGTTAGGTTCAGTGAAGTGCTGAGAGGTCTTTGCGTTTGAGGTTCTTACATTACATTCGGCTGAATGTTGGCGGCTCAAGCCATATTGAACCTGTTGTACAGTGATAGGCAAATTGCTTCCTTACTTCTGTCGCGCCATGGCCATGTCGAATATGGTCATTGTGACATGGAGTATGCTCATTGCCCTGTCAATGTGTGTTTGGAGTGGCAAGTCCGAGGAGGTTTGCGAATCAGAGGAGGTGACCTTCCTTTCAACGCATCACCGCTCTCTGGAAGACTGGGGCCCCATCCGGCGCAATTCTCGTTACTATTATGCGCCCGCCCCGCCCACCACCCCCACCCCCACCACCACCACAACCACCACCACCCCATGTCTTCCTGTTGTCATCCAGAATTTTGAACCGGATCTTCCGATTGAGATTCCAGACAGCACTTACCCAAGTATTCTCGATGGCGAGCTAGTGCCCAGCGCAGCACTTTGTGCAAACTTCGCACTGGGAGGGGTCTGTGCGGCCGACAACATGAGTGTCACTTTGGGCATTGACCACACTTGGCTGGCAGATTTGATCATTTGGATCGAGAATCCGGCCGGGAATGTCTCACGGCTTCTCGAAGGCAATGGAGGAGCCAGGGATTTGATCTCTACCAGTCCAGTCACATTTGAGAGCTCCGCCGGTGCTCCGGCATCGGACATAGGTCTTTCATTTTTGAATGCTGTCCGACCGTTTGACGACGGCTTGGATGCCTTGGCAACAAGCCCAAACGGAAACTGGTCATTCTGCATTGGAGATCGGTGGGGTGGGGATATTGGGACCTTCGTTTCTTTCAGTTTGAACCTTCCTGCTGCCGGTCCGTCTTCCAACACCATTTCCGGCGCAGCCATGTCCTCCACACCAGAGGTCATCAAGGTGCACTTTGAGTTCCAGGCTCCAACTGGCCCACCAAAAGTCCCAGACCCCGCTGACGTGGAAAAGAAGAAGGAATCAGCCGGGCAATAAGAAATTGCCTATCCCTTTTTGTTGAAATGCTCGGCCAAATTTTGAAACAGATTCTCCGGAAGGCTTAGCAAGGAAATGTTTTAATGGAGCAAAGCTCCTTAGCAGCCGGGCAGTAAGAAATTGCCAATCGCGAATCTTAGCATGGCAATGTTTTAATGGAGCAAAGCTCCTTAGATCCGTCAACACCGAATCGCCAGAAAATCAGCTGCACTGCGACATCCGTCGTGCAGCCTCGATGCGGGTAGCGTACTTATGAACTGCGGATTAAGTCTCCTGGTGGCCAGGTCCATGACGATGCACCAACGGGACAGCAGCCAGGCCACAACATTCCCGACCGACCCGGTCTGAGTCTGAGTGCTCAGCATACCACTGGAAGCAGACGCGTATGGTTCAACTTTATGGGCAACTTGGGCAACTTGGTCTCCCGTTTGCTTCTTCCGAGCGGCGACATTGCTTCGGTGAGCCCATTGATTGCTTGCCATTTCATGCGAGGCTTACTCCCACACGCCGTTTTATCCACGGCTGACGACACCACATGCAGATGCGGAGGTCTTGGTGCAGCAGTGCCAGCATGGGCTACGACGAGGTGGGGGTTGGAGCCTAGGGATCCTCGTTTTTCTCAGCCCACATTAGCCTCCCATACATCCCGAATGCACCCCCTAAAGTATGCCCCGAATACGCCCCTACATGCCTGTAGTGGTCCTTCATCGGCGGGGTAGGATGTCGAGACACCGGTGTATGTCGAGCACAAACGTGGGTTTCAGGAGCCAACCTGCCTTGTCAGTTTCGGTGGAGGTCGCTAAATCCTAAACCCCAATCCCTACTTCGCCAAGCCTCGACCCCAAACCCTAAACCCCAAACCCTAAACCCCAAGCCTTGAGAGGTGCAGTTCCTGTACGACCCGGGCGACAGCCTTGCTGCACTGGCAACGTTGGCACCTACAAAAAAGTCGTGCTGTCGGGTTCAGTGTCAGGGTTTAGGGTTCAGGGTTTAGGATTTAGGGTTTAGGGTTCAGGGTTTGGGATTCAGGGTTTAGGGTTCAGGGTTTGGGGTTTAGGGTTGCATGTGACTCAGTCTGCTTGTCTTTGGCGCCTGCTTATGTAATTTCTTAGGGACCTCGTGAGCCGGACTAAACGCGTAGTGCATCGCCTAGGCGGTTCAATATTAGGGTCCCTTTTTGGGCCATCACAGCCTCCGCAGGGAGCTGTTTGATTTGTGAGACATGGGCAAAGGTAGCTAAAGGCCGAAGGTTTACAGTCCTAAGGTGAATTCGGCAGGTGCGTACGGTCACGGTAACTTGTCAGGTCGTAAGCCTCCGGGCAAAGAAACTGGCCTGACTCGACGGAGATCTGGTGTTGCACCGGACTCCCCTGGAAGCAAAGGAGTAACGGCATAGTACGTCGGCGAAGCTTCAATAAGGGAGCAATTCTAAGACTTCTAATGGAGGGTTATGCCCTAAACTCTCAGTGCTACACCCTGAACCCGCGGGACCGTAAACCTCCAACCCTACCGCGGAGAAAAGCGTAGATTCCACGGATGAGAGTTCGGGATTCGGCACGGGATGTATTCCATGTTCTAGGGGTTCAGGGCTTTAGGGTTTAGGGGTTTAGGGGTCTAGGGGGTTAGGGTTCAGGGGTTTAGGGGTTTGGGGGACTTCCTATCCACTTCAAACCCTAAACTCTTAAACTTTGCAACGTTGAACCCCAAACCCTTCCTAAACTCTGAACTACAAATTCCTAAACCCTAAACCCGAAACATTAAACGCTGAACCCACGAGTGGCACTGGCATTGGGCTCAAGCCGGGAAGCAGTGCGAAGCTTGCGGGCGTGGGGGCCCAGTGCTTCAAGACACCAAAGTGGGTAGCCACTAGTCCCTCAAGCCCTAGTTCAATGTCAAGAGTCGATCGAAGGGCCACTACTCTAGTCACTGGAGTGCTATTTCTCTCCTAGGCTATTTTTCTTGATTGCAGTGATGTGGCTCTTGATTGCCGGCTAGTGAGGTGGAGAGGACTTCGAAGTGTTGAATGTTGTTTTGTTGCAAAATCCACGGGCCTGATTCAAGACTGCATCCTCGCTGAACCCGATGTGGTAAAATGCTTAATCCCAAAAACCCAGAACCCCAAAATCCTTCAGTTTGACGCACTCTGTTTGAAGCTTTTAGCTGGAAGCCGCGCATGTGCAGAGGTGTGTAATAGCAGCTCTTAGTGTTTGCAGGGTGCGAAAGCTGAGAGCTTTATGGGCAGGGCCTGTGTGCATTACTTTGCCACCTAATCGTGTTTTCGTGGTGTCCCGGCTTCGGCTAGCTTTACTGCTGCCTTACTACTGCTGCGCTGCTGCTACTACTACTACTACTACTACTACTCCTACTACTTCTCCTCCTAACTCGTAACCCTTGCCGCTATGGCTACGGGTATTGCTAGTGCTACGGCTGCTTCTTTCCTTGTCGACTTGTCGAGCCGGAACACGACCCAAATTGCTAAACTCTCAATTCAATCCCGCGCCGGCGTCACCGGGCATCTCCGAAAGCTTAAAAAACAACATAAGCAAACCGAAAGATAGGGATATCCCATATAAGCCCCCCTTTTAAGCCCCAGTAAGGTAGGCATATCCCTTTAAGGATGCTTCTGTGCCCAGGAAGAAGGTCCTCGCCTTTGCACACCGGATTTTAACTCTTAGTCCCCACAGATTTCTTTTGCTTCCGCCCGGGGCTGAGAGCCGGCTTGTCGAGAGGTTTAGGGGTTCAGGGGTTCAGCGTTTAGGGGTTTAGGGGGTTTATCTAGGGTCTAGGGGTTTAGGGGTTTAGGGTTTAGGGTTAGCAGTGCGCATCGGGTTTGCTTGGTAAGCAAAGGGGCTCTTAACTGGGGCTTTCAGCCTTTGCCGGAGGTTTGGTTTACAGGATTTGCATAAGGCGTTCAGTGGGGGATGTTCAGGCTTCCCCAAAAGGATTGAGAGGGGCTTTGAGGGTATGTGCGAGGCATTCAAACTTCTAAGGAGCTTGCTCTAAGGAGTTTAAACGGTTCTGAACTGCGTAAACCCTAAACCCTAAACCCAAAACCCAAAACCCAAAACCCAAAACCCTAAACCCTAAACCCTAAACCCTAAACCCAAAACCCAAAACCCTAAGCCCTAAACCCTAAACCCTAAACCCTAAACCCTAAACCCTAAGCCCTCTTGGAGCATGGCCATGGCCCGGGTTTGTCAAGGGCAGCTATCATTATTAAACATAGTAACTCTTCTTGCCGTCCTTTCCATTTCTACCATCTTTGTTTGGCATTCCTGCTCTTGCCAGTTTCAACATCTTGTTGGTAATCAGTTTTGCTAGTCTCCAGCTTGTGCCATGAACTTTCATTCCTGTTTTTTACTTGTTTCATTCTGCTGCTATTGTTGGCACCGCTCAGGATTCTTTTTTCGTTGTTGCTGCTGCCGCCATCACCACTGCCATTTCTTGTATCTTGGTTAGTTTCAGTCACGCTTCCATTGCTATTGTGCTGGTTGCCGGTGCTGTTGTCGTTCCGATTCTAGCTCTTATTCCGGCCCTGTCGTTGGTTCTATGGAAAGTACTGTCATGGATGCGACTACTTCTGCCATTGTTGCCCGGTTGTCAATCGCCGTTTGTTCACTTCGTAGCTTTGCTGTTGTTGGCACGATTGTTGCAGGTGCGGAATTGACATCCCAATTCATGCTGCCTTGATCTTGCATAGTTGCGCTCGCATATCGATCGGTTTCAGCGGAGAGCACGAATAGAAGCGAGTGCCAGTGTTCTTGCTTATCTGACACATCTAGCTGAAGAGGCATGTGGAAAGTGGTCCTGCTGTCATCATCCCAAATGTAATCCCGCTCAGAGGCCCTGTCAATCAAGCACACAGTAACGTCCTTTGACTTTTACTACTGTTCTTGCAGCGTTTTGCTGTTGCTGCTGGTTCTTTTGTTCCTTTCCTTTGAAGCAGTGCGACTGTTTCAACGAAGCCTGAACACATGAAACCGTGTTCCTGCAGGAGTGTATTAGAAGTTACCATCATAAGGAAACCAGTTTACTTATTACAGATTTCCTTAACAAAGGCCCACGTAAAGGGTGCCGGGCTGCAAAAGTTCCTTCAGTTTGCAACTCGCGAGTGGAGTCAGGAAGCGTTTAAGTCTTGGTATTCTGCGTCGCATGTGGGATGATATGAGATGCACGTGTTCGTTAACCGTTAACGCATTTCTTGCAACCTCAGTTTTGGTTGCAAGTTATTGTTCCGTTGTGTTCAAAGTGCAAGTAGCCGAAAGTGTAGTTTGTGGTATCCCCAACCCGGTCCAAAGATCTACCGAACCAAGTATTCACGTGGCCCAGATGGCTTCGAACGGCCGCAACATGTCCATCGCCATCGGCGCAGCAGGCAAGGGCTTAGTTGTGACCTGAGGCTTCCCTCATGTTCTCAGCGTACAGTTACAGCAGTATGTATGAAGTATGTATGTATATACATATAGATGAGGTATCACATGTCGTCCAGACTGCATGCTCGTATATAATCATGTGGAAAATCACGTGTCGTCACGTCATCACCGATCTGTCAGTTTGACGAAAAGAAAGGGTTTAGGCTTCGGGCGACACCAGGCGCCGCCGCCCTGTGCAGCACAGCCTTTGTGGCGCCCACGGCGCAGACGAAGAGCCTCCGCGCCACACGTGCCGGAGAGGCACTGCTTTCTTGCCTCCTTAACCAAAAAGCTTTGATTCCGAGTCCTGCAGTCTGGTGAGTCTTTGGGAATTGGGGTTGGGGATTGACGGGATCCGGGCATTTCAGAGGCACCTGGGTTGGTGCCTCTGATGAGGATTTGCATACATGAGCCATGTTTTCAGTGCCATGAACTGTTGTAGCTGTTGTTGCACGATGATCGCCCAAGCATGGGCCAGAATACGGTTCCTTGAGCCTTCTGGTGAGAGCTATGTATATACGCAGCTGTATGATTACGGCTCATTGCGGCCCCGTGCAGTCCAAAGGCCAAGACTTCGATTACACAGCA